CTGTCAGGGACCCGACGTTGTATCCTTGGGAAAGGCACTTTACACGAGTTTTCCCCACTTCACCCAGGTGGGAATGGGTACCCAGCTATAGAAAGAGAAAGATCTTGTCAGTTTTTTAGTGTTTGAGCGCTTAATCAGCTGCTTGCACTGTATGCTTCCCGGGAAGCTGAGAATATTTCTGAGTGTTCTGTAGTCTGCTGGGGTAATAATATAGTGTAAAGCGCATAGAGCTTGCTGTCGAGCGGGATTGTGCGCTATACAAAAGCTATTTATTATTCATTATTATTATTGCATGAAAGATAAAAATGTCTACGTAAAATCCTAAACAACACAAGAAGAGCCAGGTACCTGTAATGCTTACAGCTGTAATGCTTACAGTCATATAAAAAACAACAACAACAACAGTAGTTTGGTCACTTTGTACGAATGCCACCTGCCAGCCAACCTCGAAAGCCTAGAACACCAAGAACTCAGGCTACAAAGGAAGAAGCAAAAACACGAAAAAGAATTTAAAAAGTAAATGAAACCTTTAGATACTGCGACTTCTCAGTTGCAAGAGGTCCACAGTTGGTACAACCATAGACAACTGCATATCCTGAAGCTCAACGGAAACAGAATGAACAAGTAAAAGAAGTACACAATTTTCTGCCTATTGCTTCATGTCGAATCAAGACCGATGGCCGATAAAATTAATCTAGAGGGGATTGATGTTTAAAGCAGAAGTGCAGATTTTTAAAAATCATACAAGTATTTTGTGTACAAACTGCAGATTGCAAATGAGTGTGATCATTGACAGACATGAGTTTTCTCAGTTCTTGAGTCCCACAATTTCCTTACAGTATACGCACAAATGTAGCCTTAAACATGTCCCAGCTTTCCAGTTTTGCATGGTATACTTCCATGTCTTAGTTTGTCAATTACTTTCAGGAAGAAAGACCTATCAAGTATTTCCTTATAAATGTACACTGTGTATAGATACATCTGGGGTCTTCGACAGGTACCAGCTGGGAACGGTGCTCTTTCATATCTTGTTTGCCTTTTTTACATCCATGAAAATAAGAATTTAATTACACTTAGTCCGTACTCATTTAACGTCCAACATTTTTAAAACTCGTCCTACCAGCCTCGAAATCGAGAAATGACGGGTTCGGAGATTCCAGCTTCATCTCAGTCCGATGTTGTGTCCTTTTGGAAAGGCATTTAACGCGAATTTCACCTATTGGCTCGGTCCTTGCGGAGAAGGACGTTATACTGGGAGGTCCCGCCTCTTAAATAACCTGATAGTGTAGATTGGGGAGTTGAAACTGTGCCTTTTCATTGTTTCAACGTTAGATTTTCTTTCGCACTCAGGATCATCAAACATCATCCGGTGTCTTGCCGACTGGCGTGGCCGATCATGGACCTCCACTTCACTCTGTCACATAAGATCATACGACCCTACAATAGTTAAGTCCTCATATGGCACTATACACTCCCAAGTCCTGAAATATGGTTTACACTGCAGATGCTCATTTAGTAGTTAAATGTACCGGTCCTGATTTGTTCGAAAAATTTCCACGTCCGGACAAAATTGTCCTCACGAATGATTAAACTAATTATTCCACGCCATACAAACGCAAATGGAAAGAAGAGTTTTTCATCTTTTAAAAAGTTTGACCCCACAAGGTCCCAAAGGGTTTGTCAGTCTGTGTTACTTTTGCATCAGGTACTCGTATGAGAACAAGCTTCATTTTACTATGGTTCACAGGTGGTCGAGACATTTTGTATATCATATCAATTTGTGATTGCTTTCAAATGCCCATCAGTCTGCTGCTTTCGGTGTATTGACTTCATACACTTCATTTTATTTATTTATTTATTTTTTTTGGTGGGGGGGGGGGGGGTGTCAATCTTGTTTGCTCACAGGCATGGGTTGTTCCAAAAGAACTGATGTGGTTCTCATTTGCCGTAGGATATGAGTTCAATAAATGATTTGTAAAATTCAATCCAATCAAGAGTGTGATACAAAAGCTAGAAAATATAAAGTTTATAAAACCACTGCTCTTTTGCCCTGTAGAATTAAATGATTAGCTTATTTTGGTGACCAAGTCTTGCGCAAGCTCTAAACATAATATTCAAACGTTTTTTGTTTCCTTTGTTTGGTTGTTTTTCCATTTATTTTCCCCCGAGTAGTTGCATTGCGATATACCAGACGAACTGAACTTGTGAACTGAGGTTCGGTGACTCCTGGCCTTAAAGATGAACGTTTCTTTGAACTGTTGATCAGGTCATTCAAATATTTAATCTTCCAAATTCAAATTTCATTTTTAATGAAAAGAGCCCACACGTCTCAGACGTACTTTATTTCCTTTTGAGAATCCAGATCTTTGAGTCTTAAAAAGATTATGGCAGTAATTCATTTCGTTTTTGGCAAAGCAAGACAAATTTAAAATGGATGAAAGCTTTAAGGGTATTAGATTTCCATGGTGAAAGCCTGAAAACACCTGACTCCACCAGTTGCTCCCCTCCCAATTCTAGAAAAATTAAAATAAGTAAAAAAAAAAAAATCAACAACAAAAATAGAGTAAATTCTAAGCAATTCTATAAGTACAACTACCTCCCCCCCCCCTTTCCACACCCCTTATCCATCCGTTCGCTGTCTATAAGGTGCGTTGAATGTGCACCGTCTAAAAAGAGTTTTGGCGAAAGGTCGGGTTTCTTTCATTTGAATAATCAAATCTAAATTTTCAAAACCATGGTTGATCTTTGTTCTTTGATCCCTACCCTTTTTGAGACCTTGTTTAATCATCTCAAAAATAGCACAGATGAAAAGCGTCTCTTTATAACCTCTGAGATTCTAGTAGAAGTGTTCTTTAAGAAGTGATCTTTTTTATCGGCTGAAACACACTTATTTTTGTTTTGCTAAGTGTTTTTTTTTTTTAAAGTAGATTTTTTACGGCGCTCGCAACTGAAAAGGTCATATGAGCTCCAAGCAAGGTGTTTTTAGGACCCATGGCCACTGCGACGGACACCAGCCGACCCGATTCCGTCCCTCTCTCGGAAAGTCGGTAGTTGAAAAGTAGCACCGATTATTTCCTAAAATATCAGTAAAAAGTCTGTTTAGCTATGTCAACAGACACGCCCCGACACGCCCCGACACGCCCCGACAAAAGACGTGTTGGTTGGAAAGCCGCTTGCCTCATTTTAGCTTGGGCGGGTAGTGACTCATGAGCCATAGGTCCAGTCGGAACTTCAAAAAAATTCTAATTGTGAGGTCGGATTAAAATTCTAATGTCATATTCGTAAACAGCGCCTAAAAATTAGCAAAGTCTACACGCAAACCATCTGGTTTAAATGCATATTAACAATCTTACCAATTTTCCTTAAAAAACCTATTCATTTCTTATTTCCGCCTTGGGTTCCTTGACCTCAACAATAAAATTTATAGCCCTGTACCGAGGACACTGCCCGCCACGACAGCGGTCTAGCGTACACACCCGGGGAATAAGTAGGCCAACAGACTAGACGTGTCTTTTCCGGTCTGAGTGGAGACACAAGTCGGAAACGACAGAACCGATTTTCTTCCTCCCAGCAAAATATCGGGCCGTGTCCGTCTCAGTGGACAGGTAGACTAACGGCGCTCGCAACTGCATTAGGTTACATGTATATATGAGCGTGCGGGACACATAAACATTTTCAGTTTGATAAGAATTTTGAATTTTGACTAGGTGGCAGCCGAATCCTTCTCTTATCGACTTCAGGACCACCAATGGATCTTTAACGTGCGCAACTTGCACAAAGCACTAGCAATATTTTTTTGCGCCCTCGTCCGAGAAGGCTGAGTGTTAAACCTTACCTATCATAAGAACAAGGGTGTGGCTGACAACAGCAGTAGGGAAGGAGCCAAGGAGTAGCAGAAGAAAGACTGCATATTTTATTAAGAGCCCAGAGGAGGGAGCATCAGGGGAGAAGGGGAAGGGGGAAGAAAATGAAGACAAAAGCAGACTACAGAACATGTTCAGAAAGCAGGAAAGCAAGTGAAAGGATAATTTTTTAGAGAAGAAATATTTCTGTCCCGATCGGGTTTCGAACCAGGGACCTATTGAATGAGAGGCAAACACCGTTACCTATAGACTACCAGAGCCCCTTAACACACTTAACAATTTTTCACAAAATAAGAATCATAAAAACCTTTAACATACTTTACAAAAATCTAGATTAAAAGCAATAAAAAGGAGTTCATAAACCTAATTAAAAAGTGTTAAAAGAGCTTTCCTAATAATTTACTAGTTAGATCACATTGTTAAAAGAATAGTATGTTAAATAAAACTGAGAGATGTAAAAGTTAACTGCAAAAGCAAATAATATAGACGGTATGCCAAAGAGATAAAATAGATGGATAGATAGATAGATAGATAGATAGATAGATAGATAGATAGATAGGTAGATAGATAGATAGATAGATAGATAGATAGATAGATAGATAGATAGATAGATAGATAGATAGATAGATAGATAGATAGATAGGTAGATAGATAGATAGATAGATAGATAGATAGATAGATTAGATAGATAGATAGATAGTGAATTAGCGAATGGGTGAGGGTGTGTTCTTAAGCTAAGGAACATCATGGTGAATGCTTTCCGTCAAGGTTTATCACAGATCCGAAAGGGACAGAGAGAGACGAGAGGAGAAAAAAGAGACAAAGAGAGAAATGTAGAAAGTGTGTGTGCGTGCGTGTGTGTTTGTGTATGTGTGCGTGTGTGTGTGTGTGTGTG